TTATAAAAGCGTTGTATATTAAAAAGTTTTTTTTATATTATTTATTTACCTCTTACTTCATAAAAAACTCATACAAATTAACTTATGCCAAAACTTTAAATATGTATTATCTACTCATCACTGTGTAATAATAAAAGTCAAACAAAAACCATTACTTCTTAGGCAAAAAAATGGTTTATTGTTTTAAAGTTGCTAAAGTTGCTAAAACCACAAAAAAATTTAAATTCCTGAAAACATAACACTGTTATACAATTAAAAACTGTATCCAGTAGGTTACAAGGGTATCCAAACGTTATTTTCGAATGTATTTATAAATAAATCTTCGTATCAAAATTGGTCGAAAACCCTGTACGATATTATCGCGAACACGAATCTGAAGCCCGCTTCGCTTTTGGGGTTAGGAAAAAATCCTGACATAATGGAGCAAACGGATTTCAGATTCGTGTTCAGGGCACCAAAAGACATGCGGGTGGTATTCCTGTGAAAACCACATCACCCTTTTTTTGGGGCGTTATTTTGTGATCAATAAAACAGTCGTATTTAACCGGAGCTTTTACTTCCGGTTTGTGCTAACCGCTCATTGTCAAATACCAAATTTACATTTTTGTTTTGGCTACTTGGTTCACTGTATACACTGTGGTGGTGGCTAAAGCATTAACAATATTTTTATAACAAATAAAAAAAAACTTGCAAAACATTGCGAATTAAAAAAAAATAAAATCCCTTCTTTAAGTCACTGTATGCATGTATGTATGTACATATACATACTTATGTAGGTAAGTACCTCGAAAATTACTTACCATTATTACCACAATTACATACATAATTATTCGATAAAACCAAATTCAAGTATCTATCTCGTCGTAGATTCAGAAGGAAGATTTTTTGTCGTCGGGTGGCCTTCTTTGAATTACTAACCTTTGGCGGCATTACCCCCCGCCCAGCCACCGGCCACGCAAATTACAGCATCCAATTTCTGTCCATTCAACGCGTCACCAACTTTTGTTAGAACTTCAGCTTCCTGCTCCTCCCAACCTAGATCACGGGGTAATACGATACTGGCGTCCGCGTCTTCGTTAACACTAAGATCAATACTTCCCACCCACTAAAATACATACTTTCGATTTATTAAAATCCAAAATTGTAAAAAGTTAATAGTTGGCTCTTACGTAGTTATTTGATTTAAAGTGTGAAACACAGGCAGCGCCCAAAGCGCCTTTGCCACCATAGACTAGCACACGGCCAACCATATTGATACACTGCTTCACTGAAATGGCCACCGTGTCCGTACAGCGAAAGATTAAAGACACAACTGAATCACGAAGTGATGACGTTTAATGTGTATCAGAAAAACCACACAAATAAAATTGAAGCAAGAAG